AGTAACTTTGGATACCTTAGTTTTTGGGTGCCAAACTTGAAATCCCCTGGACTGGCTTGATTTGTAGAGGGGATACGTTTAGGTTGAATATTAGGAAAAAACTTTTTGACTAGGAGGGTGGTGAAGCACTGGAATGCGTTACCTAGGGAGGTGGTGGAATCTCCTTACTTAGAGGTTTTTAAGGCCAGGCTTGACAAAGCCCTGGCTGGGATGATTTAGTTGGGAATTGGTCCTGCTTTGAGCAGGGGGTTGGACTAGATACCTCCTGAGGTCCCTTCCAACCCTGAGATTCTCTGAGTCTATGATTCTAAGGCCTGGATTCACAAATAGGTGGAAGTGTTAAAATGCTGAGCATCACAATGGCTAATGTTCTGGCACCCAGGAAATCACTAGCACAGCACTGTGATCCACAAAGCCCGAGTTAGGCTCCCTATTCAATGACTGGGGAGAGAGAGGCACCTAAGAATGGGAGCCACAAAAGCCAGAACGCCAGGCAGGGAGCCATCTAAACCAGCCAATGGCAGATGCCAAGGAGAGGGGTGTGGCCTGAGTCCTGCCCCATCGCTGAGTTTGGCACCTCAATTTGAGCTGGAGAGAGGTGTCTCTCTATGATCCCCTCTCCTGCACTCAGGCACCTGAGCCGTTTCTTGCAAATACAAAGGCAGAGTAGGCCCAACGCCACACAAAATGGCCAGGGGGATGAGGGGCTTTCAGGCACGTAAATCTCATTGTGCATCTGGGCCTGAGTGATCACTGAAAACCACACTAACGGGGTTGCCAGTTCTCGCTATTTTTGAATAAGTCTCTTGCTCATTTCCCCCACTCAAAGCTGCAGCAATTGGAAAAATTTGTTTGTGAGAGAATCTCAACCTTTAAAAAAAAAAAAGTACTGATACCAACAGTTATGGTTGAGGAGACAAGGTCAAAGCCATAGAATGATAGAAATGTAAGACTGGAAGGGACTTTGAGACGTCACCTAGTTCATCCCTCCACTCTGTGGTAGAATTAAATAAGAGCATCCCTGACGTGTTTGTCTAACCATTTTTTAAAAACCTCTAACGATAGGGGTTCTTCAGCCTCCCAGATTAACATGGTTACTAGCAGCTCAAACACCAGAAGATGAATAAGAACACATCATTTATTTAAATCTCACTTTTAATCCAATCCCATGAGTAGAGGCCTGAGTCAGGCTATTTGAAAATTTGGAGTTGGTAATGCTGATACACCATGTGTGTGATGTATTATACACAAGGGCTATTTGACTGATTAAATACCTATTTTTGTGAAAAAAATCGTAATAGAAAACAAAATATTTGAAGGAGTATTCACTGAACTTTCTACAACCACAATATTGTGTGGGGGCGGATACTAAGCATGAGATAGTTCATGACAAAAGACAACTTGAGAAAGTTATAAGTCACTATAAGTAGAGTTTGTGTATAGATACACTTTTCAGCCCTGATTTCTGCATCAGTAAACTGGTGTAATGCAAAGATAGGAAGAGGAAACTGAACCCTTTTGGAGTTCAAGAGGTGTTAAACAGATGAAGAACTGCTGAGACGATGCAGTTATTATGAAAGAAAGACTAAGGGTCAGATATTTGGAAGTATTTAGGTGCCTGAATCCCATGAAAATCAATGGGAGTTTGGTATCTAAATACCTTTAAATATCTGGCTCTAAATGCACATCATGTTATCCAGAGATTAATTTGTTTTCATTCTTTGAGGCTCGCACATCTTTCTCTAGAATGATTTATGAAGCATTCTCAATGTTCAAGGTTACTACATGACTTACACCGGATTGGATTTGCCTTGATGCTGAAAGTGAATGCAAAATGTGTGTAAAATGTTCTTATTCTATTATTGTAGCTTCTTTATGCCATTTTACAGACACAGTGGAATCATTAAGAATGTTTAATAGCATAAAAACAGAATGAAACTATATCATGAGGCTATGGAGACTTTTCTTTAGATATGTATTTACTGAAACCCAAGAGCCTAAGTAATCTATACTCACGTACACTGGTTTGTTTTGTTTTAGGAAACCTTCATGCAAAAATTGGTAAGTTATTCCCTCTTTTTCACTACATCATACCTGTGTGTGTCTGATAGTGTTTTAATTTAATTATTTCATATAATTGTTTTAAAATAATGAAATGTTTGCGAGTCCAGGCAGACCTAATTTCATGGCCTAAAGTGAACGGAAATGTTGCCCTACATTTTCAAATGTGACTACAAGTAGTAACTTTGGATACCTTAGTTTTTGGGTGCCAAACTTGAAATCCCCTGGACTGGCTTGATTTGTAGAGGGGATACACTTTCTGAAAATGTAGCCCGATAGCCCTACCAAATCCTTATCACCACAATCCCAATGCCACAGGGTAGAGATGGGACAGAGCAAATAAAGATTGATGAATCACATATAGGCTGTCTAGACTTCACACCACTTGAAGTGAAATGTAGGCCATATCTGCAGTTACCAGGGATCGACGCTGCTGCAGTCAATGCAGTGGGGCTCGATTTAGCGGGTGAAGACCCACTAAATCAACTGCAGATTTGTTCTACGGTCGACTCCAGTACTCCACCAGAACGAGAAGATTAATGTAAGTCGATGGGAGAGCGTCTCCCGTCGACGCAGGGCGGTGCAGACACCTCAGTAAGTCAACCTAAGCTACATGGACTCCAGCTATGCTATTCATGTAGCTGGAGTAGCGTAACTTAGGTCAATTTACCATGGTAGTGTAGACAAGGCCATAGTGAAAAGCAGGCAGTGCCCACACTACAATGTGGTATGAGTCAGTGAAAGGCTCTGGCAAGGGGGGAGGCAGTGAGGAAAGGCTCCAGAAGCAGGGTGACAGCAGGACACTACAGTGCTAAAAACAGCAGTGTAGGTGGGGAAAGAACTGTTTGGGTGTGTAGAGCTGTGTAGAGTGCATAGCCCTCGGGTTCAGGCATGTTTGTACTCTATGCACTTAAGAAGTGCTCACCATCTACACAGCTATTTGTCCCCATGCGAGGGGGGCACGCAGTGCTTGTACGCTGCATGCTTCTGTGAAGAGTGTGTAATGTAGAAGCACCCATAGCAGCCTGAAGTTAGACACCTAAATCCATAGAGAGAGAAATGCCTCCATGTTCACCCATCGCCCAGACAGACTCCCATTGAGCTATGTGGTCAGCATCTCTGCAGTCAGGACACATTTAAATACCTTATGCCCCTGTCCTGCAAACTCTTACGTGTGCACTTACGCATGTGCATAAACACTTGCTGGATCAGTGTTGCCAGAGTGAGATTTTCTGAGATGCCTAAGGGCGCATTTTCACTAGGAAAACAAGAAGCTAACATTGGTACTTATATGTGTTAGCTAACCAGAGGTAAAATCCCTGATGAAGACAAAGCCTGTTGTATTTTTAACAGGAGTCAGCAGGTCATGGTGAAATTATTGAAACAGAACATTGATTGACATGAACTGAAATAAAGTTTTGTTTTTCAGTTTGTGGAAGTTCAGAGGATTTTTTTTTTTGGACTTTTTGTCTTGATTTAAGCTGGGAAGAAAAGTTCAGCTCTTGAAAATACTTTTTTTTTAAGTTATTCATAGTTTTAATGATAAGAATACAGTAAGGGGGGAGGGGCGTTAGCCAGCTGCTTTTGAATAATAACTGACATACAGTCTGCTCAAATATATTTGGGAGTGGTCTCATGAAACACAATCTGCTGAACAAGTCCGTAGTTCTTGAGACGTTTTGAGGGGCAAGAAAACTGTTTCCCATCCAGTTCTACAATTGTGTATAGGTCAGCCCTCAAGCAGATGAGTAACTTCACTCCCATATATATTTTCAGGATTGGCCATCCATCTAAAGCACATTGACAAATAATCACTGGGAAAGTGTAACTATCATAAGTGGCTACTAATAAAGAGATAATTGAGCTGGAAGGATGAGGTTTGTATTGGTAGTGGTGGTAAATGTGGATAAGATTTCCACAGATAATAGAAGTTTACAGGTAGGCAAAGTAATAAAAATGCTGCTTGAGAACTTAGGGTTTAATTTAAGGGTCTTTACTTTGTATATTTGGACATGCAAGGTTGAGAATTTGGGTTTTAATGGTTATAAAGATTTACCTTTCTCAATCTCATGTCTAGTGTCCTCAAATTATTGTCTGACACCACTCCCACCCCAATTTCCTTTGACTGTAGGAATTCAGACAGATAAATATAAAAAGCTTAAAATAAACATTATCCATCAAGATTTAAAAAAATGGAATTCTGCCAAGCATAATAGCCATGTAAATTATTAAAATGCTTAGAATAAAAACTGTCCTTTCACTCGGTTTGCACTCAAACAGAAGCTCAGTGTTGTGATCTTTCTTTTCTACTCTGCTTTATCTATCTTCTTTCCTTAGGGAAGATCCAGGCTGAAAAACGTAAGTTACATTCTTCTTAGTATAATCTTCTGTGCACATTTGTATCCTTTTGATGTGTTTTAATCTACTCACCACAGGCTAGGTCCTAAAAGAGATTTAAGTATTGCAATTCCTAACTCTAGACAGTGAGAGAGAGCCCCCCACCTCACTATATCCATAATGCTCACATCACGTCACAAAGAAACCCTGTCTTTTTTCCAATTGGGTGGGTGCTGCCAGCCCAGTCCAGGTGAAAGAGGGCTTCTCTGGGGCTGCAGGAGGTATAAATTCCCTCCAACTCTTCTGGTCAGCAGCCCTCTTCCCTTTCAACCTTCTTCAGCCACTTGGAGCTCAATGGTTAAAGCCGTCACCTGGGTGGTGGGAGAGCTGTTTTCAAATCCCTGTTCTGCCTGATTAGGAGCAGGGACTTGAACTTGGGTCTCCCACACCCTAGGTGAGTGCCCTAGCAACTGGGACAGATGCACACACACTCACTTTCTCAATTTCACTCACACTTCCTGATCTGGTGGCTCATAACTTTTTTGTGCGTAATGTGTGATCTGGGCATGCCTACTGGATCAGGCCCCACAGGCTAGACAGGGGAATGCCTAGCCAGAATATCTCCCCAAGCCTTAGGTCTGAACTAAGGAACTGAGCATCTCTGTGCCACCAGGACTTAGGCAGTTGTGTGCATGCCCAAAGGCAGAAGCTTGGGTGCCTAGGGAATTTAAACACCTATAGGATTGGGAAGAAGGCAACCGGCAGAGCCTTCTCTGTGAGAGCTCTGGAACTTGCCCCCCTTCCTTGGTCTGCAATAGTTTGTGTCATACTGCCTGATATGGGATGCAGCAAGAGCTCCAGTCTCAGGTCAGACTTCCAGAAAACAGGGCATGTGCCCCCAATTGATGGTGAAAAGAATATACCAAGCCAGTAACAAATGGGTGCTTCCAAATTACTATACTAGTTTTTATGAAGCCACACACAGTCCCCTTCAGGCCCTCTAGCCTCTCATGCACCACCCAGACAAACCAGACTTCTGTGATGCATGATTATAACCAGAAATCACATATATTAGGTTCTTCCAGATCTTACCCCAAAATCACATTAATAGCTAGTCCTTTAGCAACTAAAAATAAAGGTTTATTAATAGTTTTGAAAGGGAAGAGAGTTGAGATTAAAATGAATCAGATACATTGCAGTTGGTTTCAGCGTCTGTAGGTCAGGATAATAGCAGTGATGTTAAATCTGCTAGCTTACAATAAGTCTCTGGTTCATCCCAAATACTGGGGTCCTCAGTCCATTGTTCAAAGCTCTTCTTTGTTAGAAATTGTTGTCCAGAAATGTGGAACAGGAAAGAGGCAAAGAAATTATGTCACCGTCTCCACTTTTATACCCTCAACCTGTATGCATGGAAAGTTACTGGCACAAACATGGAGTCAGGGATCACATGTCTTACGTGCCCCGCTGAGTCACTGGGCCTCCATTGTGCATATGCTCTCTGCAGCATCCTCTGGAGATGCCCACTGGAAGAGTTGATTCTCCTTAATGACCCATCAACCATGGCTGTCTGGTCTTGATGTAAATCTGTCATGTGGGTGCCTCCACCCTGTCGGAATCCTCTGCTGCCCTGCCTGATGTCTAGAGCGTAGTTACAGGGCAGTATTCTCCTGGTCCCAGGCTCCCTAATGGAGCTGGGGCCTTCATCAATATTCTCTAGCTGGTCATCAGACCCAGTCATTTGATGCTGCTCAGTGGGTCTGATAATTCCCAGGCCCTGCCTATTGGGCTTCTCCAAGGAATAGGGCTGTCTGATCCCCGGCCCCTCTGGCCCTTAAAGGGGCAGTCTGGCCTGTTACAAAGAGGGTGTGTCCCCAGGATGATGGGGGTGGAAAGAGCTTTTTGTAGCTGCTGGCTGCCCATGTTGGCTTCCTTTCCTGTTGAATGTTCTTTTTCATTGCTTCTATGGTGTCAGGTTTTTATAATAGTTAAAATTAGAGCTTCTGGATTGGTGTCTTTATCCAACAATAAGTCAACAGAAGCGCAAAGCTAAGCTTATTAATCTTTATGGAATGAGAGCAGAATGGATAAAGATTCAGTTACAGAATCAAATGAATATTAAATACTGATATCATCTGATTCAAAAAAGCACCGATATACTTTGAAGTTAAGTACATGTGTATCCCAATTGACTCTGATGTGCTTAGACCCAAGCATGTGCTTAAATGCTTTTCTGAATTGACACCATTGATATAATATAGACCCGTGACATTCAAGAAAAAAAAATCTAAACCTGTCCTACTTTTATTTTCAAAAGCACCATTGCTTTGCTCTTATTGAATGGGAGTTTCACCATTGACTAACTTCAGCGGGAGCAGAGTGAGAGTAACTCTACTCATAATCTTTATAGTAAAGACAGAAGAACAGCTAACGATTCAGGTACAGAACCAAATAAATATTAAAGGCTCAAGTCATGTTAGCCAACTACGGGATTAGCATTGTAGGAGCTGATCCTGCAGTCCTTGCACACTGTACACTGCTAGTGAAGCCAACAGGAGGTTAGGGTATGTGAAAAAGCAGATTTGGTGTGAATCCTACAGGTCATTCAGAACGGTAAATGTCTGAAAGTATTCATTTGTTTGATAGCTAATCGTAGTGAATCCACAAGAACCCTAGTTGACACCTACCACCCCACACTGGAACCCAGATGGGGTATCAAACAACTACAACCCATACTGAAGAGGGACCTCATCCTGAAAGAAATCTTTCCTAAACCCCTCTTCTGTCCTTCAGACAACCTCCCCAGTCTCTCCAAGCTCATCATCAGAACAAAGCTCCACACAGACCAGGACACCCCAAGTCAAAACAGCACCAGACCCTGCCAGAGCAGATGCAAAACCTGCAGCCATATCTCCATTACTACAATGATCAATCCCCCACAACACTTTCAAGATCCATGAATCCTACACAGGCCTATCACAACAACATGTGCACTAAATGCCCCATCAGCTATGTCTATGTCTACACTACAACTTATGTTGGCAACATACATTACACTGACATAAGCGCTGGTGTGGCCAGTCAGTGCTACGTTAGCGGGAGAGCTTCTCCTGCCAACATAGATTCTGCTGCTTGCGGGGACTGGTGGAGTTAAGCTGAAGGGAGAGGTCTCTCCGGTCATCTTACAACAGCTACATTAGAGAGCTTACAGTGGGGGTCGGTGCAGCTGCGCTGCTGTGAACTCTACTGCAGCTGTGCCCTTTGTGGGTGAAGCCAGACAATCACTAGTTCTCAGGCTTTGTCTACACTACACAGGTGCTTTAAAAAGCCCCCTCCACCCCCCAAAAGACACTCATAGGGGGTGGAAGTATTTTGTTGGCAAAAATGCCGACAAACAGCATTCGCAGTGCCAGACTTTTAGTGACACGCTAAAAGCTGTGTAGTGTAGACAAGCCCTCAGATGAACTCTCAGAAAACTGATAAAAGACAAAAACACCCTATCACCTGTGGGTGAACACTTTTCACAAAACAATCACTCTATATCTAAACCTGCACAATACTTTCAAAAGACTTTCATAACTCTGCTAGATATTAAAAATCATGGACTGCACAGAGACACTGGATTTTGGCTTATTACAACAATGCGTAACTCACTAATTCCTTCTTTCTGTCCTGTGACTGCAGGTGTTAATGGGACACTACCTTGAATGGTCCCTTACAATATATGCTAACTAATCTGTTCCACCTTGCCTTTAGCTATGAGCTCAGAGTACCTTTCCTAGACCTGAAGAAGAGGTCTGGGTGGCTCAAAATCTTGTCTCTCTCCCCAACAGAGGTTGATCCAATAAAAGATATTAACTCACCCGCCTTGTATCATGAATCCAAATGTAATTCATTCATAGATTTAAGGCTGGAAGGGACCATCAGATCATCTAGTCTGACCTCCTGCATAACACAAGCCAGAATATTTCACCCAGTTACCCCGGTATTGAGTCCAATGCTCTGTGTTCGGCAGATCTTTCAGAAAGATATGTGGTCTGAAGACATCAAGAGATGGAGAATCCATCACTTCCCTTGGTAGTTTGTTGCAGTGGTGGAAGTTCTAATTTGATTAATGGTTTTCTTGAAACTGTAAATCAAAATAAAATGAAAAACTCCTTAATATCTCTTTTCAGTGAAAAAAATCTTAAATAATGTATTTATCCATTTGTTTTATTTTAGGGAAACTTCTTGAAAATATCAGTAAGTTTCATTCCCCTCCCCCAATATCACCTCATATGTGAAGTTGTGCGCCACTAAGTTTTTAATTTAAGGGACAAGGTCAACTGGAAAACCACAGGTAATGTCAATAACTTCTTAACAGTAATCCCCATGCTATGTTATGGGAAGTCATAATGCAATCGGGATTTTAAAATACTTTTAAGGACTGACCTTTCACTTATTCCTGTATAGCTCCTACTCCCAATGAAACTGAAGGGAGTAGGAGGTTCCCAAAGAATGAAGGTTTACAAAGGACTAGTGAGCAGTTATAATACCTAGCTCTTATGTGAAGAGATTTCATCAGTAGATCGCAAAGCACTTTAGAGTTCATGATCATGAAACTGAGGCAGAGAAGGGACAACTAACATGCCCAGGTCTCCCAGCAGGCCAGTGGCAGAACCATGATTAGAACTCATGTCACCTGAGTTCCAGTGCTGTGTCTGCTAGGCCACACTGCCTCTCTAGTAATAATTAGTGATCAGGCCTAAACATATTGCACCATTCCAAACTGTAAACCTTTGAAAGTAATGCTCCCGTCCTTCAGACACTTGTGTTCATGAGAATTTTTCCTTACATGCCTAAGTGTTTTCAGGCCAAGGAAACCATAATGCACTTTTCACCTGCATTCTAAGGCTGCGTCTACAGCAGGAGCACTTTACTGGTATAGGAATACCAGTATATTGTAGTGGGAAAGCATTCCTAGTGCAGATGGTGCTTGTGCCAACAAAGCTGCGCTTTGTTCTAATATAGTAAAGCCACCCCCACAAGCGATACTGGTAATAGCACCGTTTTGCCATTATAACTGGATCTCCACAGCACAGCCATGTCAGTCAGGGATCACACCTCCCCACAAGGGCAGTGGATATAATAGGCCAAGGGAGGCTATTCCCAAACAGAATGCAGGGCACCCCCCTTTGGAGCTGCCCCGCTGGCTTGCTGCCTTTTGAGCATTGCCCCTGAAAGGGTGCTCGGCCCATGTCCCTGCCCACACTCCACCCTGACATCCCCCTCCTGCATTCTGCATTCCCCCATGACACCACTACCCACATTGCTCCTCTTCCTGCCTTGCCTCTTACCCCATGGCCCCTCCACCCACCACTCACACTTCTCCACCCCTTCCCCTGCACCCCCTACCTGCCTCTCATGCTTCTCTGTCCCTTCCCCTGCACCCCCATACTTCTGCACCCGTTTCCCCTGATTCCCCCCTGCCACCTTCTTGTGACTCTTCACCCCCGGAGAGGCAGAGAGGCACTGGTGACAGGACGGGGGCCCTTGGGTGTGGGGGCAGAGCGGCACGGGTGGCAGGGCCCCTTGAGTGGAGAGGTGTGGGTGATGGGGCCTCTTGGGGGAGGGGGCCGAGCAGGAGCAGGGCCTGGGGTGGAGTGGGGGTGGAGTATAGGCAGACACCTATCTTCACTGCTGTGCATTGTCCCCGGGAAATCAACAGTAATTCTGGTGCCCAGGCTACAGACACTTACACACGTACTGAGCTTTCTTCTCAAGGTGTTGTCCCGTTGAAGTCAGTGGTGCTCAGCCGGGTTACACTAAACTGCCCATTCGGGATTGGGGTCAAAGTAGATGAATTAGAGTGCTTATAATGAAAGCTGACCTTGAGGTCCATATGCAATGAAACAAAGCTCTTGATAGTCTTTCATTTACTTATCTATTTCTTTCCCTTTTTTTTCAAGGTGAACTCCAAGAAGAAATTAGTAAGTTATAACCTCCTCTAATGCAATAGTTTGTATGGAGTTGCATCCTAGGCTGTGTCTACACTGGCAATTGAACGACAAAACTTTTGTCATTCAGAGATGTTAATCCCCTTCCCCCCCGAAAGACAAAAGTTTTGCCATTACAAGTGCCAGTGTGAACAGCACGTTGTTGGCATGAGCGCTCTGCTGCCAACAGAGTGAACGCTGCTCATTGGTGGTGGAAGTATTTTGTTAGCAAAAGAGCCAACAAACAGTGGCGACGCTGCCCGACTTTTAGCAACAGGGCTTTGTCGACAGTCATGTCGCTAAAAGCTGCGTAGTGTAGACAATGCCCTAGTAAGTACTGTAGGATTCATTTACCTGTAGGGAAATGACGTGACACCCCAGGCTTTGTGAATAAATTTAAAGTCTGGGATTTTCAAAAGCGCCTAAGGCAATTAGGCACCCACTTTCCACTGAATGTCAATGAAACAAGTGTCCTTTACACACTTAAGCTGCTTGGAATATCCAAGCTCAGATCAACTCTTCTGTGTTTGTACAGCACCTAGCACAATGGGGTCTTGACCCAGGACTGGAGTTCCTCTGAACTACCCAATGCAAATAATAAATCACTAATAGAGGTGCTGGCTCTTATTTTGCTGTGGCCAGAGGAGGACATAAAAGAACCGGTTATGGCTCCCTGACTCTGGGACCAGCCCTGCAGACCCAGAATAGGTATAGTCTGTGTCATTCTGGTCATTTTCCAGCCCCGGTACAACTTCTCCCCTAGAGACTGCTGAGGGGCTGGTTCAGAAGTTGAGTACACCAGCACTGGGCCTGCTAGGGACTCCGTCACACCAGGGAAGCCTTCAGCTTGGGATATCCAATTGCTTTTTAGTCTAGACATCAAAAGGGCCCACAAAGTAGCAGAAAATCCAGTCCCCTGCCTCAGCCACATCGTTATTAATTATTGTTTTAAAAATGCTAGAATGTGTTGCCCAAGTTGTAATCTTCGCCATAAGGTGTACAGCTTGGCTGGGTTTTTTTGTTTGTTTTTGTTTTGTTTTGTTTTGGGGGGGGGATTGTAAATTCACTGAAATACGTTTTCAGGGCACTGAAACTATTTGCAAATTTGTGTTGAATTCACTGAATAATTTCAACTGAAAACACTTAAGAATTCAGAAATGGTAAAATGGTTTGTTTCAAAAATGTGAATTCAAATCAATATTTCATTTCAAAAGTGTCAATTTGAATCAATATTTTGTTTCAAAATAGCAATTCAAATTGGTATTCAAAACATTTTTTCAACCAAACTTTTTTTTTTATTATTTTTCATTTTGTGAAGGAAAAAAACAAACTGAAACAACAAAAGTTGGGGGGGAAATGTTCAGTTTGGCCTCTGAACAGAAAAATCAACTATTCACTGAGCTACACAGCTGGTGACAGCTGTAATTCTGTTAACCAGAAAAGTAGAAAAACAAGCCATAGCCTCAAATTGTTAGTAAAGTATTAGTGATTTTAAGGCCTAGTTTTTCATTCCTTCCACGTGAAGAACTCCCAGAGTAGTTAATAGGAGTTTGGGATGCACAAAAAAATGGGAAAAAATCACACGTGAGTAGACAAAAACATATTTTACCCATCAAAATAGTAATGCTTTTAAAATAATTTTAAGAACTCAACCCCACACAGGATTACACATGTGAATAATGCTCTTCCCGTGCATAAAGATTTGCAAAATTGGGCACATCTAACACATTTCTGACATGTAATCTAGGGTGCATACTGGGAAACATATACAATACATCTCTACCTTGATCTAATGCTGTCCTCGGGAGCCAAAAAATCTTACCGCATTATAGATGAAACCGCGTTATATCGAACTTGCTTTGAGCCGCCGGAGTGCGCAGCCCTGCCCCCCCCCCAGTGCACTGCTTTACTGCATTATATCCGAATTCGTGTTATATCGGGTCGTGTTAGATCGGGGTAGAGGTTTAATAAGAATGAATAATTTTGTGCTTATAAAGAAAACTGTCTTTCATATCTGTAGGCACCTGGACAGGAGCAGGGCATTATACTTATTTGTATCTGTTTTGCTTTTTCTTCTTTCCTTAGGGAGATTGCAGGCAGAAATTGGTAAGTTAGCTTTTTCCTCGTATTCCCTTTTGTAAATAGTCCTCTCATATTAAGAATTTTAACTCTATTCTCGAGTGCAGTCCCCCTCCCTCCCAAGGTTCACTATGCACAAAGGTCACCAAAAGGCAATGGGAGAAACATGAAAAGGATCAGAATAAAGGTTTCCAATAGAAACTCTGATGCTGTTTTATTGTTCGCTGTAGCATCCAATTCAGCATAGCACCTACGCAAGTGTTTAACTTTAATCTTGAAACACATGCTTAAGTGCTTTCCTGAATTGGGGCCATAATATAATAGAGTTGTGGCATACAAGAGACAGTCTAAACCTATTAGAGTGGCATTATCAAAAGCACTCAGGACTGGCCTAAATTTGCTCTTACTGAAGTCAATGGTGAAACTCCCACTAACTTCAGTGGGAACAGAGCTAGGAAAATACTACCCTTAATCTTTATAGTAAAAGCAGCAGAACTATTAAAGACCCAGAGAATTGTAGAAATGCAGAACTGGAAGGGACCTCAAGAGGTCTTCTAGTCCTGCCACTTCTCCCCATCCTGCCTTGGTACATGTGGGTGAAGCATTTACCTAGACCATCCCTGAAGGTGCTTGTCTGACCTGTTCTTAAAAACCTCCAGTGATAGAGATTTCACAACCTCCCTAGCTAGAGAAGCAAATAAATATTGAAGGCTCAAGTCATATCAACAAACTATTAGCATTTTAGGATTTGATCCTGCAGTCTTTCCACTCTCGATTGCCAGTGAAGCCAACAGGAGATTAGGGTCTGTGAAGCAGGATTGGCCTGAATCCTACAAATAATTCAGAGCTGTAAACCTTTGAAAGGATTGATCTGTATGTGTAGTGAATCCATAAGGGTAATGCAACATGAAAGAAAATGTTAGTACTGATGATCTTGATACTGGGAATTCATGTAAAAATGAAAAAAAAATCCTTGAAATTTTTATTCACTGAAAGTTCTTAAATAATTTAAATGAAAATATAAATTAATGAAATAATTTGTATTTGTTTTTGTTTTATTTTAGGGAAACACCTTGACAATATCAGTAAGTTCTATTTTTCTTCTAATGAAACATCTTACATGAAGTTTTAGTCAGGAAAGAAAAATCCCATGTAATAGCAATTGAACCCAGATATTGCAAAGGCTTAAGCCAATAAGTAACTTTACGCAATTCAGTGGGACTACTACACATGATTCTGAATAAGTGTTTCCAGGATCAGGCCTAAATCTGGATGCACTCGGATAAAATATTACAAGCTTCTAATTATTTATGTGGATTTCTTTCTCTCTCTTTTTAGGTGAACTCCATGAAGAAATTAGTAAGTTATATTTCCCCCAGTGGAAAGTTTTTTTGGAAGGTGTTACTTTCCATTATAACATAATTTTATTTTTCTACCCTCAAAGTTCCTGCAGCTTTAGATTAGACATACAGTGAATGATTTGATGTAAAGAGGCAATGTGAGAAAATGTTTAAGTGACTAGAAGTCAGGGTACTGACTCAGAATGCTGGAGCAGCGCCTGGGCAGAGAAGTTGGAGAGGAATCAATAATGGCTCTCTGGCCAGTTCTACACAGACCCCAGTCTTACTGTAGAGTAGAGTCGAGGGGTGGAATTTTTCAACCAATTTTAGTTTTTTAGGGAAAAAAAGGAAATTCAGTGACATTAAAATGTTTTCAGAATTCATGCTGAATTTGCCAAATTGTTTGGGTGTAAAAAATCTGAAGGAATTGAAATGTTTTGTTTTCACATTTTCAAAATGAAACATTGAATTTTTGATTCAAAGTGACTTTTTGTTTTGAAAATTCCTTTATTTTATTTTTTTAAGAAAATGCTTGAAATCAGAACAAGACATTTCCTTTCAGATCAAACAAAATATCTTGGTCAACCTGGAACTAATTTTTTACTGACCTTTTTTTTCACTGAAAGTAACTAAATAAAAAATCTTTGTGGTTCAACCTGTAATGCACCCCTTCCCGCCAATTATTTGGAATTGCTGAGATCTGAAAACCCTATTATTCACCCAGCTTTAGATTACAGCAGCCTATGGGCTATTCGAATCCATACCACCTGGCTGCAGCTCCTATAAGTCTTGTCCACCAGCCAGATGTTACCAGCAGGCAGTGCTTTCTAGCCACACCCGCTCCTTATTTGTTGCATGGCCCCATTGCGGTGGGCTGCAGCCTGGTTGTGCAGAAGCTGGCCATGCTTGTTCAAATCCTGCTAGGGACTTGCCCAGGCTGGGGAAGACATCAGCTGCTTCCTGGCTCTTTTGAATAACTCACATGACATGAAGGCTCTAGATTGCATCATAAATGTCTCCCCTACCTCAGCCATATCAGCATTCGCCTCCAGATGCTATGATATTGTTATTTGGAGTACTGTGTCCAGTTTTGCCCCGCCCCACTATAGAAAGGATGTGGACAAATTGGAAAGAGTCCAGCGAAGGGCAAGAAAAATTATTAGGGGGCTGGAGCACATGACTTATGAGGAGAGGCTGAGGGAACTGGGCTTAGTTAGTCTGCAGAAGAGAAGAGTGAGGGGGGATTTGATAGCCTTCAACTACCTGAAGGGGGGGTCCAAAGAGGATGGAGCTCGACTGTTCTCAGTGGTGGCAGAAGTGGCGACAGCTTGGAAGAGAGAGAGGCAACACTGGAGACAGAAGGAGGGGAAAGGATATAATGGAGAGATGTGCCATTTTAGAAGAAAGTTAAACCAATCCATATTAAGGATAAGGAAAGTAGAAAGACTAAAGACTGAGTTATAGAACCGAATGAATATTAACTGTTCAAGGGTGTTAGCGGTTACCATTTTAGGGCTCACTCTTGCAATCTTTGCACACCTCAGACTCACAGAAGCAGAACTGGGCCCCAGTTCTAGACACAGTTCAAAACTGTAAACCTTTGAATTTTTATTTTCACTTGCAACCAGAAAATCCACAATATAGATAGAAATGTAATTAATGATTATATAGAACTAAGAATCAATATAAAATGGAGAAAAAATATTTAAATCTTTGTTCATTGAAAAAACTCTTAAATAGTTTGTATTTATTTCTGTTTGCTTTATTTTAGGGGCACATCTTGAAAATATTAGTAAGTTCAATTTTTCTCCCAGTCTAACCTCTCAATTGAAGTTGTACACAGTTAAATTGTTGTTGTTTTTAATTAAAGGAATATTGTCAATTTGAAAATCAAATGCATGAACTTTGGCCACAATTCAGAGGGCGCAGCAGCTCAGTCATTTGCAGGATTGGGGTCTTTGTAATAAATCATTGTCTATAAAATGGTATGTCAGAATAAAAAACCAGAGTTCGATAATAATGTTAAGCTCTGACCTTTCATTTCTTGCATGCACACCACTCCCAGTGCAATCAAAGGGAGATGGGCCCTGAGGAATAGTAATCAAAGTATTCTGAATTTTGTTTTTTCATCATCATTATTTTTATTTCCAATGACCAAAATGGGGGTGAGGGGAGGGAAATGTCAACCAAATTGTCATATGCCCTCCCCCCACAAACACAAACTATTTCCCCACCAGCTCTAACAATTAATAATCAGACCTAAAGACACCTGGCTCTGCAAAACTGTAAATGTTTAAAAAATTATATTGGAGCCCTGAGCCGACACATTCTTAAACTTATGCTTCATTTTCAGCACACAGGTGGTCTTGTTGAAGTCAGTGGGAGTACTCACATGCTTAACATTACGTACGAACATCACTCTTTGTATCACCAGTGCCTATGAGTCCAAGCCTGCAAATATTTACATGCATGAGTAACTTTATTCATGTGCCTGAGTGTTGGTCAGATTGGGTGTTTATAATGCATTTTTGACCTGTAATCTTAGCTCCTGGTCCTGAGTTTGGAGCCATGCAAGTGAACTGTTGAATTCAGTCCCACTGATTGCAGTGTAGATTCAGGCCTTTAGAATACCACCGGGAAGGTACACATTAACAGTAATGAATAGCCATGATCCTTCTGCATTATACAGCCCACTGGTGAATGTGTTACAGGCTTGCCTGCGTACTGCTCTACATACAATATGAGTCTGCTACAGATCCTTGCTAAATCTACAGCAATTTGGTCTTTTTTTTTAGCTCTGGAGATCCCCAGTTAAATCCCTGGTCATCAGCCAAGGTGGTGGCCATCACACTTGCATATGGTTAACTTTAAGTATGTGATTACTTCCACCGAACTAAATCAAGGCCTATGTACGTGAGCTGAATGACTATACTGAAAAGTGATCTTTACATTTCCATACATGCTAAGAGAATTTTTAATTGCCTTTTCCTTTTCTTTCTATTTAAGGTGAACTGAATGAAAAAATGAGTAAGTTATATTTTCTCATTTCTGTATGGATTGCATCTTCTCATGACATTGTCCATCTACTTTTCTCCCCAGACAGGAACTGCAGGCTGAATTCATACACACAACAAATGATTTGTCACCAAGAGAGATTGTGAGATAGTGATTAAAACTGAGGATATTGAATATATATGCTGGTCCAGATTCTCAGCCACCTAATGAAACAGTGTGACATACGTTCTGAGTTTTGACAAGCTCTAGTCTGGAGTATTGTAGTACTTCCTTATGGAATCACAGACCTGTATTGGAACACTGCAAGTACCAACTCCAGCACACACACACACAGGCCTTGACTTTGTACTAGAGTCCCAGATCAGATACAACAATCTAGTTAACATACAAGACAACAATTTAACACTATCTGTCGGTAAGGAGTTTGTCTACAGTGATCATCACATTACATAAATTCACTGCCTACAACCCCGTCCCACCCTGTGTAGTGGTTGTGTATAGGATGTGGCCTTTAACCCCACTTAGGGCTAGAATAATTGATACTGGAAGATTTCAGAGGTGCCTTATCCATGGTTTGGAAGGGAATCATTTCCCAAAGACTGATTAAAAAGTCTTGGCATGAGGTGGTTTTGATGAAGGGGTTGGGCTTAATTTAATCTTGGGAGAAAAGCTCTTCCATAATGTCTTTATTTCTGATGTTTTAATTATTATTACTATTATTATTATTTAGGTGGACTTCAAAGAGAACTTGGTAAGCTTTTTTCCACCTTCTTTTTCAGTAATGCATCCTTTTTTATTAATCAGATTCAGCTTAACAATGAACTTATTCACATGAGTGCTCACTTTATTTGATTTGCTTGGTTTCAGAATGGAGAAAAGCCCTAGTTTGTCCAAGTAAGTAAAGTTTGTATTTAGTTAATGTCCAAATTTCACTTCCTTGAGAGATCCTTGCTCCCTTTCTTCGTAGAAATAGCTTAAAACAACCCAAATAGGAAATAATGCAATAGTTTCTCTGGTTGAAGTGTGAATGGTGAAGGTTGTTCCCCCAAGTGACCTGTAAAGCTGGGGAATCTTCCTTTGGGAATACGGAGAGGAGTGAATTAATATTTTTCTGGATAATACATGCTCAGGTAGTACTTGAATGGGATGCTGTCCTGATGTTATTCTTTGCACATTCATAGGGGAAGGACAGCCCAGTGGCTAGGGTGTTAGCCTAGAATTCGGAAGGCCTCAGTTCAGATAATTCTCCTGTGTGACATTGGGCAAATTGATTAGTTTCTTTTTTGCCAGAAGCTGAGAATGGACGACAGGGGATGGATCACTTGATGATTGCACGTTCTGTTCATTCCTTCTGGGGCACCTGGAATTGTCAGAAAACAGGATACTGGGTCAAACAATATATGTCATTCAACCCAAAACAAACACATTTTAAGATTTTTGGTTGACCCAAAATTATTTTTTTAAAATTCATTTTTGGTGTAAACCTAAAAATCAGTTATTTGCACAGTTCTGGGAGAAGACAAAGATGCACAAAACTTCCCACACAGGTTTCACCTGCTGCTCTATGGGTCTGCTCTGATATACATCCAGTGCTTCATGTGTAATGAAAGAGGTTCCGGGGCTCAAGCAGTTTTTTTACATTCATAATTGATGAAGCAACCCCAGAGGTACCAGGGCTACAAACTGCCAAGCCTAGAGATGCTGGGGCTCAACGCTGGCATGCCCTCGCACAAATTTAAGCACTGAACACATCCCCTTCCCCACACAGACCTCCTTATTCCTGATGTATGATTTGATAGGAATTGTCTGTCCTTTTTTATTGTTCTTTTTTATCCTAGTGATCAGGCTCTACTGAGAGCTTTGTCTTCAGGGGAAAAGACTACTTTGTCATTTTTTGTTAACGTTTGATTCTATAGCAGTCATTTGATGTGCTTAGTGGAGGTGTCTGAATAGCCAATTCTTCCGTTTGTGGCTCTACTGAAAACAAATAAATACAGGAGAACCTCAGAGTTACAAACACCAGAGTTATGAACTGACAAGTCAACCACACACCTCATTTGGAACTGGAAGTACACAATCAGGCAATAAAATAAAATTAAATAAAAAAACGAATACAGTACAGTGCAGTGTTAAATGTAAACTACTAAAAAAAGGGAAAGCAGCATTTTTCTTCTGCATAGTAAAGTTTCAAAGCTGTATTAAGTCAATGTTCAGTTGTAAACTTTTGAAAGGACAACCATTACATTTTTTCAGAGTTACGAACATTTCAGAGTTACGAAAAACCTCCCTTCCTGGGGTGTTCGTAACTCTGAGGTTCTACTGTAAATAAAATGAAAAAATCATTTCAGGGTGGCTCAAAAATGATTTTTTTTTAAGAAATTTGGCAAACTGAAAAGTTGAAAAAAATCAGGTTGAATGAAACACATCTTCTGACCAGAAATGAAATGGTTGATTAATTTATAAAGTTTAAAAACATCTTTTAAAATAAAATTGAAGCAAATTTCAAAAAGAAAAATCTTTTTGAATCAAAAAGTCAAACTGTTTTGTTTCAAAAATGTGAAAAAGAAGTGCTTCAACTTTTTCAGAGTTTTTTTCCCTACCAAAAGAATTCTCTGAATTTTACACAAATTTGTGAAATCTTTCAGTCAATCCAAATCTACATTTTTCAGGAAAAAACGATTCCCCCAGTTTTAGTGCTTAGATTGCCAAAGACAATGAACCATGTTAACGACTTTCAAATGTAAGCTTTAATCCCCTACATTTTGGTGCGGGACACTGGTCTTCAGATAGGGGTGTCCTGCTCACTGCTGTTTTGTTGATTGTTTGTTTTTAGCTTTATTTATAGAATATTAAGAGCCAGACCTCATCGGCCAATTTTGAAGCTAATATAAGGATTGTAACCATGGCAAAAATGGGCTATTAAAGGAAACCCAGCTGGGGCCTTAGCTATAGAGTGAGTCTCACTGGTCCACATTGATCCCATGAAAAACTTTGATAGCTGCATAGATTTCATGACAGCCATGAAATTCTGACTCATGCACAACAAGCATTATCTATAATGACACTGAAATGGGGCATTGGCCTTATCCTTTGCCATGCCAGGACCCCACACAAGGTGAGAATTCTCAGTCAGATCTAGCTTTGGGATGGGAGATTGCCTACATTTAATTTCAAATGGAAAAAGTGATACCACCGTCTCAATCCTTCTTCATTCCACCTGGATGCCAAGCTGGAGACACCTGAATCAGCAGTGGGCCACGTATGTCCTCTGTAGTTGAGGTTGCAAGTGAGCGTCCATTATAAGCCCTGCTTTCCCTCCAAACCGCATACACAGGAATATCACTAACAATAATCAGAACATGATTGTTAGGGGAACATGGCTTGCAAATTCAACCCATGCATTTGAAGAGTCAAGTAACTCCCAGCTGAGATGACCCCAGAGCAGCTGAGCATAGAAAGGTGCCACTGCAATGTAGGGTAGCCAAAGGACAGCTGCATCCCCAACTTTTTACCTTTGAAGTGAGCTTTGTCTACTTTGGCACTTCACTGTGGTGACTTACATCAAATGAGAACTGGAGTAACGTGCATGGATGGTTAAAGGAGAGAGAGTGTGTGGGGCGTGGTGGATAGGAGAGAAGTTTCCTCTCCTCTGCTGAAAACAGAAGATGATCTTCTCCTTCCTCCTTAGATAATGTCATGAGGAGACCTGGGTGAAAAATTGATATTTCAGTTCATTGGCAGTTTCAAAAAAATGAAGACAAATTTGTTTTGAGTCAGACCAGAAATGAAAATTTTTAGAAAGTTAAAAAAAAGATTTAAACAAAATGTTTTATTTTGAGCATTTATAAACTTTTTTGCTTTTTAAAAAATAAAATTAAGGGAAATTTTGAAATGAAAAATTGTTCCCAACCAAAAAAATCAAAATGTTTCATTTTTAAAATGTCAAAACAAAATAGTCTGATTTTTTTTGAATATTTTTATTTGTCTTAAACAAACAATTTGGCAAAATTGACATGGATTTGGAAAATGTTTGTGTTGTTGAATCTGCATTTTTCACCAACAAAAGTTTTGGCCTAACAATATCACCAACTCTAGTTGTGAGAGCGGCCCATTGTGTTTCATTCTACTTTAACCACTCTTTGTGCTAAAATATCTTTCTGCTTCTTCAGGCTGTCCTAATTCCCTTTTTTTGTGGCTCGCCTCACTCTGGAGAGATGCCTCTTGGCTGATATCCCTTTCTATCTGGCCTTGATTATTCCCCATGGAACTTAAATTAGGGGTATATCAAATCATGTTATGGTGTGATCTGACTTTAAATATTAGGAAGGAGGAGCACAGCAGGGGTTCTGTTCATGAAAAAGAAATGGGAATAAAATCTGCTGGGGCTCCCAGCATTCCTGGGTCTCTGGGTCCCTCTCTGGGGAGAGTCGTCTGCAGGAGAGGAAAGATGCTGCATCTCAGACCTGGCTCAGATGACCTTTCACTGTTGTCACTGACCTGTTCCTGCTCGGGTTTGTGACTCTGCCCTGCACTCGGCAGAGATCTTGGAGCGCCTCCCCATTCAGAGCTGGGTAAATCCTGGAGGAAGGAGCTAGGGCAGATCAAACCTTCCCCCAGAGATGAGCTTGGATTCTTCTTCCTAAAACTGGGGTGGGGAGGAGGTGGGGAGGCCCCCACCCCGCTCCATGGCCCTGCCCCTGCCCCTTTTCGTCCTCCAGAGGCCCCACCCCCTTGGCCAAGCCAGAAGCTGGAACCCAGTCTGCCTGGGATGGGGGAGGGGCGAGTGCAGCCCTGGCCCATGTCCCCATCCCCTGGGTCCCACCAAGGCAGGGGAGGGTCTGCAGCTCCCCACAGCTGCCCGCAAGGCTCTTACCCAGATCCAGCGTCCAGCCTGGCCTGGGGACAGGGCCTCGGGGGCCAAAGAGCTGCAACCAGGCTATAGTAAGAGACACCCGGGCAGCTGCTGTGGAGAGCCACGGACCCTCCATCAGCCCTGGATGGGGGGGTCATCTGGGGGACAGGGACATGGGCCTGGGGCTGCTCTCAGGCCCCCGCACCCCAGGCAGGTGGAGGGTCCACGACTCCCCACAGCTGCACAGGTTCCCCAGGTCAGGCTCCAGCTTCTGGCCTGGCCAGGAGGCGGGCCTTTGGGGGGAGGAGAAGGGGCAGGGGGCCAGGCCCGTGGGGAGTGGGAGGGCCACTCCCGCATTCCTGCACCTCTGGCTCTGCCTTTAGCATCATGATTCTCTCTTTCCACTGCAGCGAATGTGACCCTGGATCCAAACACAGCAAATGCCCAACTCATCGTGTCTGAGGATCGGAAAAGCGTGAGGCGTGGAATTGCGCGGCAGGAGGTGCCGGACAATCCAGAGAGATTCCATTCTTTCTGTCTGCTGGGCTGTGAGAGGTTCACCTCGGGGAGACATTACTGGGAGGTGGAGGTGGGAGACGGGGGATTTTGGGCTGTGGGTGTCGCCAGAGAGTCTATGAGGAGGAAGGGAGGGATCAGATTTAACCCTGAGCAGGGGATCTGGGCTGTCGAGCGATGTGGGGATCAATACCGGGCTCTCACCTCCCCTGAAACTCCCATGCCCCTGAGTGAGAGACCTAAGAAGATTGGGGTTTATCTGGACTATGAAGCGGAGTGGGTGGCATTTTATGATACTGGTAATGAGACCCTGATCTTTACTTTCCTGTCAGCGCCTTTCACTGGGGAGACAATCCTTCCCTTCTTCTGGGTGGGGATTGGAGTCCTGCTCCAAATCTGCCCTTGAGTCCTGGAGATGGGGAGGTGGAACCCCACTGGGGTTCACTCTGGTTGTGGACCAGAAATGTCCTGAACTAGTTGTTGTCCTGGGGACAGCTCAGATGGTTTAAATCACACTGCTATGGTTCTAGAGAGGGCGATGGGGGAGACGGAGGACATGGGGGGTTGTAGGGCGCATAGGCACCGACTCTGTGGGTGCTGCAGGACTTGAGCACCCACAGGGAAAAATTAGTGGGTGCTCTGCACCCGCCGGCAGCCAAGCTCCCCTAATCCCCCGCCCCACCTCCTCCTCCTCCTCCTCTGAGCGTGCCGCGTCCCCACTCCTCCACCTGCCTCCCAGCACTTCTCGCTACCAAACAGCTGTAGCAAGCTCCAGGAGGCGGGGAAGAGGCGGGGCAGGGGTGGGGATTTGGGGAAGGAGTTGGAATGGGAGGAGTAGGGGGCGGGGCAGGGGTGGGGCCGGGCTGAGGGGGGTCGAGCACCCACCGGCGCCAGTAGAAGTTGGCGCCTATGGTAGGGAGAGGAGAAGCTGAAGATTGGAAAGGGGAACATGAGGTTTTTCTGGGGAGGGAGATGCTGGAAGGAAATGGAGAGTGAAAGAAAGGGAAAGGGGATAAGAAAAGTCAAGAGAGAGGGAATAAAACTGTTAAATGTTATGGAAAGTGATTATGTTTTATTAAATCAATCCCTTTGTTCATGAAAAAAGCTATTTTGGGGCCTTAAACTATTCTCACAGATTTTGGACACTCTCTTCTCTGTGTTCTGATTATTACACTATCATTGAATTGTTTGTAATTCTCACATTTCCTGACTGTAAATATAGCTTGTATTTTAAATGCTGTTATTTCTGCTTGTTATTTTCTTTTCTCTCTGTTTCTTTCAAACTGTTTGTTTTTTAAGGGAGCAGTACCTTTTTTTCCTGCATAAACTCTGGACTGTCTGCTGGGCATCCCAGGTCTGCAGGATGATGTGATCTCACCAGTCTGTGCTTGTGGCCCTATGCCAGTCTACCTAGGGAATACCAGCAGCTATGCCAGTTATACTGAGCAGCATATGCCAGTGTGAGTCTTCATGCCAGGGTACTCCTCCTCCTGCTCCATCATACAGTCCATCAGGTATCTTTGGTGGGTCAGAAAATTCCTCTGAAATGTCCACCAGCACTTCAAGGAAGCTCTGTCCCTTTTGTGATGCAGAGTGAAAGCGCAAGCAAGAGGACTTCTTCAAAAGGTGCCATCTCCATGTTGCTGGCTCTAGTTGCTGGGCACACACAGACCAAACTCATTCCTCGATAGTCTGTGCTGGCGGGCTGGTCAAACTTCCTGTAACAAGCAGGGTGGACAGAAAAGTTTTGCTACACTGCAACATGGTCAAAGGGCTATAGTGGCCACAGTTCAGGCAGGTGTTAGGGAATCTGGGATAAGGTTGGTTTGACTCAGGTCTACATGCTGCAGTGTGGATGTCAGAGCACCAGCCTATGTTAGGCTACGTCTACACGTACGGGGGGGGGGGGGGATCGGATTTCAGATATGCAAATTCAGCTACGGGAATAGCGTAGCTGAATTTGACGTATCTGATCCGACTTACCCTGCTGTAAAGACGGTGGCAAATCGACCGCCGGGGCTCCCCCGTCGACGGCGCTTACTCCTACCTGGGCTGGTGGAGTACACGCGTCGATTCCGGGATCGATTGTCGCGTCCCAACGAGACACAATAAATCGATCCCCGAGAGATCGATTTCTACCCGCCGATCCCTTCCCCCCCCCCGTAGTGTAGACGTAGCCTTAGAAATATCTTAATGTAAAGTTAAGAAACAGTGTAGATGCTCAGGCCCAGGGTTCTCCAACATGGGCCAGCTGACTCCAGACCCAATAACCCTGGGCTTACATTGCATTGTAGACAATCCCAGAGTGACATAGATGCATATCCTCATCAGTGTTCAGTGACACAACCAGTTCAGGGGGGAAAAAAATTCCATGGCTATCTTCAAAAATCACATCTGGAAAATGAAAGGGAAATCAACAAGGAAACATTTTTATAAGCTTTATTTACATTAAGTAAATGACAGGCTTAAAGGGAACTGGGATTGAACTTTCATAACCAGACCATGTGGTAAAAACATCCAAAAATTTGAAGTATTGTTCTGAAAGGCATTAAAGTGGAAATATTGCAAATGAACATTGGGGTGGAATTAATGAGCAGAGGTGAAAATGGGCTGGTGCGGGCTGGTACAGTGTACCAGTGAGAACTGGCTGCCGGTACCGGCCCGCACACGGCCGATGTTAAAGCACTGCTGCTTTTGCTCCCCCGCATCGGCTGCCTGGCCATGAAGGGCTGGCTGGGGGAGTCTGATCCCCAGCCCTGCCCCTTCCACCCGAGGCCCCACCCCTTCCGATGGCCAGAGCCACCCCCCACCTTGCCCAGGAGGGACCCGGGGTACCAGTAAGTCCCTCTGCTTATTTTCACCCCGTTAACGAGTTACAGTCATACATTCAGAAAGATTTTATAGATCTCCCTCTCGTGTTTTCTTCCCTTCTCCCTTTTATTTTATTTCATCCAGTTTTGCACATCATTTTAGCTAACACTTGTTTTCCATCCATTTATTTCTCTGTCTGCTCCTAAATCTCTTTTATTCCCTATCACAGATTATTCCAACTCAGGTTCCCAGTTCTCTCCCTGATCTTATCCCTTCCTCTCCCTTTGCCCCAAGATTCTCCGGTTTCAGGATTGTTTTCTTTCATTCTTTTCACATTAGTTCCCTACCCCTCTCGCCTTGCCCCAGGTTTCTCTATTTACTTTTGTTTTACTTTATTCCCACCCCCCCTTTGATTTCTTCTCTCCCTTCTGATTAAACCTGCTCTGTAACTGCCTCTCCCCTCCCTGCAGCCAGCTCACCTTCATCCAAATGACATCTCCTCCCATGTCCCTCCCCACACCACAGCATCCCGTCCCCTGGGGCCTGGAGGTCACACTTGACAGTTCCTGGGACTGGGTCTCTATCTCCCAGGCTCCCTGCTGGGGCAGAGTATTCACCTTCTCCCCAAACCTCCCAAATCACAATTAATTTGGTGTCCTTGTCACCCCCACATCTGCCTGTCCCCCAGTCCCCCTAGTAGTTACAGCCCCAACCCCCACATCACTTCTGTCCCTGACCCTCCAACAGTTCTCATCCTGCAGCCCCCACATGTGCCCCTCAGGGCCCCTATGCTCCTCCTGCAACTCCAGGAGTTATTCACACACACCCCTTCCCATCCCTGGGGCTGCAGGGAGGGCGGGGGGGGGAGCGTCATAGAGATTAGATATTGGGGTTGGGTAGACAGGTGTCCTCCAAGGTCATAAAGATGGGCCAGAGGCTAGGTAAATGAGACACCTCCAGTATCCTAGAGACTAGGATGACTGTGATTAGAGACACCCATTTTTTCATGCCCATTGGACTATTCTCACCATGTCTCAGTAGCAGTGTCTGCGCCACAATTCCCAGAGTCCTCCTGTGCCATAGAGGACAGTGACACACAGGCGGCAAAAGCCTGGGGTTGATGAGACTGGAGGAGGTGGAGAAGCCACCCCCTGTTTTCCACACTCTGACAGGTCAGACACCTATCAGGGCCTCCAGGGTCATAGCGGTTGCATGGCAGAAAGCCTGAAGGAAGACAGGAAACTTTCAATGTCACAAAGACAAGGGGGTGTGAGACTAGAGAGGTTGAGTTCAGGGTCTCCAGGGCGATATCCCCCCCAAGTCTCAGCAACACTGTCTGAGCCGGGATCCTGTCCAGACCCAGAACCAGGGACGGATTCGCTGCCCGGTGAAAGAGGCTGGCGAGAAAGTGAAGATCGGGGCCTCGTTATCAGCATCAAAAAAAGCCACCTGCCCCCATTCACAGTCCAGAGAAATCCGGATCCTTCTGGGGACCCGGCTCAGGGGCAGGGGGGTCTCAGGGAAGGTGAGAGCCTGGAACTGACTCCCCCACCGCTGCACAGCCCAGATCCCCCCCTCAGGGTTATGACTGATCCAGCCTTTCCTCCTCACAGACTCTCTGGCCACCCCCACAGCCCAGCGTTTCCCATCCCCCACCTCCACCTCCCAGCAATGTCTCCCCGAGGTGAATCCCTCACAGCCCAGCACACAGAGCTCAGTGTCAAATCACTCAGGATCATCGGGTAGGTACCGCGGGGTGTGTCCCCATCTCACACGTTTCCGATCCTCAGACACGACGAGCTGGGGATGAGCCGTGTCTGGATCCAGAGTCACCGTCACTGGGGAGAGAGAATCAGAGCGTTAGGGGCAGAGCTCGGCCCGGGGGGGGGCGGGGCTGGGGGCATTTCTCACACTCCCCAGCAGCCCTGGTCTGCCTGGGACAGGCCTGGATCCCAGGGCGCTGCCTCTGTCCTGGGCACCTGACACTGAGCAGAGATGTCACTGCAGCTCTCAGCCTGGGTAATGGGACCCCCTGTTGGACGTTCGCATTCAGTTACAGAGGCTGCAGGTTCCTGCTCCCCAGCTGGCGTAGCTCAGATGGCAAAGAGTCTGGAGGGGAAAAGGGTCCCAGAGATGAGAGCACCTGGTCTCTGATTTACAGCGCCAGCCTGGGGAGCGGCTTCTCTGCCCCGAGTGCCCTGGCAGCTCCTCCCCCGGCTGCTGGGACCTGCTGTGGGGGCTGCAGAAACTGCCTCTCTCCCCCTTCCTGCTGGAGCGGCTCCCCGGAGGGTTAGAGAGGAGGAACCTGACGTTGCGCAGAGGGGCGTGAGAGGAGGGAGGCACCAGATATGAACCCGGGGGAAGCAGTTCACTGAGCCCATCCTCCTGTCCCTGGCCTGGGAGAAGAGGAGGGGACAGAGCATTGGGGCAGAATCACTCCAGCCCAGAGAGTGGTCAATGGGGGGTGGCCTTGGGAAGAGAGAAGGGAGGAGGTGGCAGCGTCAGAGGAACACTGCATCTCTAGCGGAGGAAGAACTGGGGAGCTCAGCCTGCCCAGCAGAAGAGAAAGGAGGGATGCTGGTGAAGAGCCAGGGGAGAGAGCCCCTCGCTCAGGGAAAAGCAGAGGGCACATGGATGGGTATGGAAACACCAGAGCATTTGAGTGTCGCTCGGGGCGAGTGTGTCTGGTCATGGACTCAGTGCAAAGGCTGGTGGCAGGATTGTTTGTGTGACTTCAGCGCGGGATCGCCACCACATTTCAAGTTTGTATTTTTATTTCTTGGGGGTGGGGGAGTGTCACATTGGGTGTTGGTTTGGTTTGTGTCTTTAGCTACTCGTTTATAAAAGTGTTTTCATGCATTTTTTTCTCTGAAGTGAGAAGTTTAGCCCTTTCTCAATAAGCTGGCCAAATACTTCACTGGTGCTACTCACAAGCAAACAGTGAAATACAAGTACATAGCCAATATTCATAACTTCAAATACAAGAAT